GCTCCCACTGTAATTATTAGAGATCTTGTCAATGGAAGGAGCTGTTCTAAGTATTCATCTGACCAAGTTTGATTTCTACTTTTCATTGTAATTAATTGACTCACTTTCAACCATTTCTTCATTGGAGATAACGGAAGCTCAGACACCTTGCTCACATGAAGACACCTCTACTGAAGAAAAGTGAATTCAAATCCCAGTCTCAATGGTATCACAGAAAAGAAAGCTGGCAAAATTAAATCCTGGTGTAGCACTGTAAATGTGACCTACCTGTCCCAGTACGATGCAATTTTTTATCAATAGATTGATGGTATCAAGTTGAACCAGAGAAATAAATAGGCCTTTTAATGTCATATTGTTAGGTCTTCATAACTAAATGTTTGGATTTTTTTTTCCTTTGAATTATCTCCAAGAGTAAAGATAAGTTCCAACAACCAGTGCAAGTGAGCAGTGGGTTTATAAGATGGTGATTGTCCCATTATAAATTCCTGAGTACAACCTTTATGCTAACTCTTTTTCTTCTTCTCACTGAGGAAATTCTCACAGAAAAGGTTTACATTCCCATTAAATTATAATTGTGCTGTTAACCAGATTGGTGGCAAATTAATGTAATAATATATCAATGAAAATAAGAAAGAGCCTGAAAACAGTTTTAGTGCAGTAGGTAGAGGCTCAATGGCAGAATAATGATAAATAGTGCAAACCCAAGTCGAGGCAACAGGGCTGTCTAAGAGTTGCCTCTAGTGTAAAACCAGCTTTTTAGTGAAAAATGTACATAATTTCCAAACTGAAGGTAAGTTTCCCCCTCTAGAGGCTAATGCAAAGAACTACTTGCCTACATCTAGTTTAGCCTCTGGCTTTAGATGTGGGCAGTACCAAATTAAACCCTAAATCTGGATGCAGTTGTACTCACAACCCAGATCCAATTCTAGGAGTTATATGCCGATAGTTTTTAGTGACTTGATTATCAAAGCTCCAGCTGTAACTTCTGGTAAATGCAAGCCATCTCACATCTTCAGCCACTGCGGTTACATGTCAGCTCTTTGCTTTCTTCTTTGTGACCAGCCTTTTTATTTCTCTCCCTCTGTATTCCCAATTTTATGAAGGGCTGGACTTCACTCCTTTCTTCTTGTTTAAAGAAGATATGAGCTTTGCCAAATACATGGCTCAGGTGTTGTTCACATTCACAACGGCTCCTGAGTTCTGCCCAGTTATGGGCTTTTAGTGAGATAACATGGAGTCTAACTGTGGTTTAGCAAAGCAGAGACATTCCCTGCTGGCAATACTTATTAAATACTTAGAAGCAGGAAGAAATCTTGTGTTTTCAAAATAGCATGATTTAGCATTCATTTAGCTTTTCCTAACCTTTCTAAGCAGGTATCAGCTCACAGAGATGGTTTGGTATTTCACCATCTCACTGACAATGCCATTGAGAGCCCTTGATGTTAAATGACTTAAATGTGCTCTGCACCTTAAATATGTTTTCCCATATACTCTAAAAATCATCCCTTCCATTCGTTTGGCATTGGTACTCTGCCAACACGTCAGTGTCAGCTATACTATGCTTTGATATTTTACTGTAAGTACAGCACTGTGAGTGCCATGCAAGTAGAAGTCAAAGGTTGCATACTGGATTGTGCAGTGTACACTGGTTTTAAATAGGAAGAACAGAGCCTTGGAGGCAAGATATAGACAGGACTCCATCTTTACTAATCAGCTCTAGGAAAAAACAATTAGCTTATTGGCATGAAAAGCTTGTACCATCTCCAAAGTCTGTTTTGCATTGAGCTAATTAAATGAATGTGGCATACCAAAGATACTGCCTGCTAAGAAGTATACATACTTTTTCCCTTTTTAAAAATCATGCTATGCAATATAACTGGAAGTCACCTTTATCATCAAATCACTGATTTTCTACTTAAATCAATGACTTACAGTATGAATGAGGTATGGATTGCATGAATATAATTCATTGCTAATTGCTACTGTGGACATAAAAGCTATTTTGCCTTAAAATGAAGATGGAAATGTGTTTCATTTGTATGTACTCCACTTTTGTCTCATATTCTTGATCTTTGCTTAGAAAGTCTTACGTACAAAAATAAAAGTGAATGGTGCCAAATCAGGGTAATTTATTAAATAAATGGAATGAAGGAAAATTGCATTTTACCTGACCAGGCTTACTTAATTGAAAATCAGTCCAAGAAACTGTTATGTCTTCTGAACAATAACAGGAAATGTTGATTTTTCTGCTGCCCTTGGAGTCTATAGAAGAGTAGAAGAAATCTTATGGCAGAGACTGAATACTTTGGTTGTTTCAGTCACAGCAAAGGTTTCATTCCATTATAACTGCAGTAATTGCATGTATTGAAGTCTAGCAGGGAAATGCTGCACACTGTATTTATCTTTATATGGGAAACTTTACGTTGCCTGCCTATGCAGTGTCAGCTCATATCATTCTTTGTGAAATGTAATGATGGAATTGGGGCATGTGGATCATGATTTGTAGGTTCAATATACCATAAACTCTTCTGGTTTCAGCTAGCAAAGTAGGTCTGATTTTATTTAACAGTTCACACAGGACACATGTGCTTGGGTGACAAACTACCTTGTTTTCAGTTAGTGTAGGTCAACTTGTAAGAAAATAAACACATCCAAAATTTACGTCATTAGCTTAACATGGAGTATTACAAAGTAGTGCTGGTTTATGCTGGGACAAGTGCCTAATTAATTTGCGTTAAGTTATCTGAATTGGTTTCAGAATAACATTTTTACAGTGATTTCTGCCGCAATTCACAATATGTACATGCACTTTTCAGAAACAAGTCCCAGTTTTTTGTTTTGGATTGTTGGTTTTGTTTGTTTGTTTTTCCTTTAAATCCCAGTCTCTGAGTAGATACTGTGTCACTGCCATAGGAAAAAGATTTTTTTTTTTTCTGTTCTTTTTCTTGGTTTTTAGGGTCTTGCATCCAGATACTTTCATCAATAAAATGACATAGAGCAGATGTTTTCAAACACATTATTGCTGTGGCAGGATGTGCAGCCACAGCATGTGCACAGTGACAGCAGTTTGGGCAATTCAAGTGTTAGACTTTTGGGTGGATGATCCAGATTTGCATGGTGGCTGCATCCAGTCTCTGTGCTTTCAGAAAGAAGTCACTGCATAGCTAGATACCCTATTTATGCATAATCTGGTTTTGGTGGGGTTTTTGTGGGCTTCTATGAGGCACCAATATTCTTTTGTCTCTGAGGCTCTGGAGTAGAAAAAAAAAAGCCGAGATTAGTTTTTCTTTCTGCTGTAGTTTATGATAAAGTTTTATATGCTGAAGCTTGAGACCCCACATACTGGAAGTGTTAGGTAATGGATTGTGTTCACTATCTTGGATTTCAGAAAGCAATTCTCTCTAGTACATTCATTGCATTTTGAGCTGGTTTTCTCTCGTGTTCACTTACAACATTAAGCATGTTCTCAATCCTCAGGAAATTTATCTCATTTAAACAGTTCTAAATTATTAAAGCCAAGCACACATTCCTTCTGTCTTCCAGTAGGAGAAGTATATACAGGAGTTCATTGGTAAAAATTTTCCCCAATAATTTTTAAAATCAGTTACTGTATTACAAGTTCAAGACTTCTGTGACCTAAACCATTAACTTATAATCTTCTATCTGTTGATTGTTGCAATCAGGAAGCAAAATCTTTTTTCAAGAGTAAGTAGTTTTAAAATGGTACTAGAAGTTTCTAATGAAATGCCTAGATTTCTCAACTACCTTTTTCCAGCCACTGGTAATAAATACATCCAATTCCTATAAATGCTAAGTGAGCTCATGTGTACATGAGGGTAAATTGGTCAGCCACAATCTGCCTGTTGTGCTTTTCCAAGAGAATGCAGCTACTGCATCCCTCTCCCATCCCACTTGTGAGATGATGGGAAGGAGGACAGTCTGAGGGTCACACATGCTACCTTGGTGAGGTAATGGGGATCTGGCGGACCAGTCCTAGCAATGGAGCTTGTTTTCCAGATGTGCTCACATCACTGTCTTGCACAACAGAACACTACCTACGAAATGGGTTTTTTGGCCATGTATATCCAAGAAGTAGCCTTACACCTTGGTACTGCAATATCAATCCTAGCTGATATTGTGACCATATGTTATCAGAGCTAACTACTATATTAGTTCTGGCTACAGATTTACAAGTGAATTTCTGAGTATAACTCCTCAAAGTTACTAGATATGTCTCTATTAAGAACATGGAATTTATAAAGGTGGGGCAAAGCACTTCAAAGATGAAATTCTGAATTATGGTCCCAGTGCAAGTTGGGGAGGTGTCATTCTGGTGCCATCATTGCCACTGATGCACCTTCCTGCTCTCTCTTCAGATTGGAGTCAACCAGTGAAGCCCTAATTTATCCTTTTTGGTGTCAACAGGAATACTTTTAGCTCTCTTTTCTTTTCTTAAAACAGCTAATATTTGAAAAAAAAAAAAAAAAAAAAAAAAAGGAAGAATGAACAGTAGGATAGATGAAATTAGATCTGTTATTTGTTATGATCAAGAAAGAAAATCTTTTTTTAAATTGGGTAATCTAAAAAGCATTCTGCAGATTTCTAATTATTGTTCTTATGTACAATTTAGAATAAATGTTTATACTCAAGATATAAGCTTCTGAAAACAGAGGTTCATTAAAAAAATATTGTAAAATTCCTATTTAATTGTGGTATGTCTGTCTTAAACTGACAATTAGCTTCTCACAGTGTTCAAGACTTTCATCTTTAGATCCTGTTTTACATCTTTACAAAACTATGGAGAAGAAAAACTCCATAATGCAATGCTAAGTATTCTATTTTTACTTTCCAGATATATATAATTAAAATTTGATGCTGGTGATAATGTGATATTTGGTGCCAGGTTTATTTTTGATCTTTTTTTGTTTGTTTTTGGTTTGTTATTTTTTTTTAATATTAAACTAGTGTTAAAGATTTTTTTTTCACTGTTTTAATTTCAGATTTGGATTCTCTAACAGGGCATGCATTTCCAGGTAAAGTGGACAGTTAGATTAGATTATTTTATTTGTTTGTTTTATATTGAATTTATTGAGATTTCTTTGGGGGGTGGGTAAAATTTAATTGTTGTGCTTCTGACATTTTTTTGCATGTCAAAACTGTATTGTCAGGGTTTTTTTAAATTATAGATAAATGAAGAAGAGGTAGTTATTACATGCACTAGTTTAAAGAATAGAATTAAACATCTGCTTTAAATATTAACTATAGTACCTTTAATATTAAACAAACCAAGGAGAGAGAAGTATTAATCCAAAATATCAAATCCTAATTAAAAGATTTTAAGTTAATTCAAACTTGCACATGATTCTGTAAGAAAGAAAAAAATTCATCTGGTAGTGTTTAGGGAAAACTAAGATTCAAGAAAGACAAGGCTGAGTTCTCTTACTAGAAATGTATATGAAACAGGTTTTGAACAGTAAGAACATCATTTTCAGTAAAGAATCAAGAAAGGATGAGAACACAATTATGTTAAGTCTCTGGATTCTACTTTAAATTTAACTTTAAAAACATTCCACTCAAAAATTTTAGAATCTTACAACTATAATTACTTAATTCAAACATTTTGAGTTGGGAATTTTTTAGCAGAAATACAGGAGCAGAGACTTTGATGCTCAGTGATCATGTAAACTTCTATGTAACTCTGGTAAAAATGTTTACACTGGAGGAATATAAATAAGCACTCTGTGAGATAAGGTAAATCTCTGCTGCAAATGTGCAGACACCTCATGTACTCAAAATTCTCTTGAATAATCTTTCAGATGAACAGGTTGTGAAAACTAAGGCATAATTTTTGTATGCCAAAGGGATTTAGGTAAAATTTGTGATGATATTTATCATTAGAACAATATTAGTCTTCATTGTGTAATTGACTCCTAATGTGTCTATTGCATAGTATAATATTCCTCCTTCAGTTTTTGTTTAAAAGAGTATTATTTAAAACTTATGAGACAGTAGATTTATTTGAGATTTTCCAAGCATTCCTGCATTGTGGCCATTAAGTATGATATAAGAAGCTCAGTAAAACAAATGATGAAAAAAAGATTAGAAGTTCATTATCATGAAACTTGTGTGCAGTGTGGAGCAGATCCGGGTACAGAGTCTGTCAGTGCTATTTGTACTCAATGTCGTGTTCTGAGTAGTCTGGTTTGGTTTGACTAAGGATACTCATGGAATAATGTACTGTTTAATAGGGCCATCTTGTAAATATGATATTCACAATTGCTGTCAAACGTATGCATGTGTCACCAAGATAGACATTGAGACAAGCAGTATCGATGTATCTTTTTTTTTTTCTCCTTTTTAAAAATTCAGTCTGCTTTTGTTTTTACATTAATTTTTTGTGTTACTTGATAGTACTATCATGGTGTGTCCTGTTCTTACTTTGAAATATGACAGTCTTAACATAATGATAATGACTGATACTGACAACAGAGTTTTATATTTATATGCATGCTTCAGAATTGTGGTAAAAAGAAATCATCCTTATTCTGGATGGAAAATGTCCTGAATTGCAGGACAGGTGAATTATATGCCTATGTTACGTTCCAAGTGTAGCTGTGCACAACTCCGTCAAATGTCCCATTATTTAGCACAGACAGAAATATCTTTGAATCTAACTCACTGTCAAAGGGATGGAGGAGAATAGTATAGGTAGCTGAGAAGAATGAAAGCCTGAAAACGTGGACTTGACTTACATAGATCTTTATTTGGAGACTCACAGTATAGACATGCCACTGTGCAGCTCACAGAAATTGCTAGAAGAACCATTTCTCATTTTATGCTTTATTTGACAGAGTTGAGCCATACGCTTTTCACACAAAATTGTAAAAGCAGCAGAATGTCCTGTCTTGTCTTCAGCTTTACTTGCATTTAATAATAAAGTCAAGACAGTATTCTGCTAAAATAGTGTGGATTGCATAGTTACAGATGTAGCTAAATTAAACACCAAAAGGGATGCTTACATATCTAGTTATACTGGAAAACACAGAACACTAAATCCATCCTGATACCTGTGTGTAAACATGAGAACTCTAGGTAGGCTAAAGCATGTTAATTTTCAGGAGACAGAAAAGGTCAAGGTGTTACTTATGCTTCTTCAATAGCAATTAGTTAATTGGATATGTCCAGATGATCTTAGTGTATTAACAGGTGATTTGGATCTCACACTGAACAAACACAAAACAAACTCAATTGACATTTCCATTTATGTCACCTTGGGAAGAGCCCTCCCTTTGAGCTAATCTAACAAGACTCATTAACAAGACCTCTAAGGGTATGGTGATCCAACAGTTTTTCATTTGACCCTTGGCCAGTGCTCTGCAGTAGCAGAGTGTGAAATGGCTCTGTCCCAAAAGGCAGGCAGCTGTGTTAGTGCAATGCTGAGTGGGTGCTAATGCCAGGCCCTTCGCTGGGCAGGCGGATCAAACCTGGCTCCGCACTGACCTAATCACAGAGTTCCCAGGTCGGTCGGAGGTGGTTTTGCATCCAGATGGCTTCAAATTCATGTGAGCTTACATTAATATATAACTGCTTGGTGAATTTCAGGCTAAGAAAAAGTACTTTCCCTGTCACTACTTACCCCTGCATCAGCTCCCCTTGTGTTTTCTGTAGATGTGGGCAATCTCTGCTACTTCAGAGACAGATCAGCATATAAACCACACCAAAGTATCTGTCTGGTTTTTATGTGGAAGGAAAAATAAATTCTTTATAACCCTTGCAGTTGATCAGGTGAAACCCTAAAGTACGAGATTTGATTATAGTCATTGTCTTAATGCAGAGCTGCAAGTGTTATGGGCATGTTGAGAACTTCCAGAAGCTGGATTAAAGCATCTCTTTTACAATGATATCTAATCTCGTCCTAAAGCTCCAAGCAATGGCGAGTCCACCAGCTCCCCTGGTAAGCCGTTCCAATATTTAATTACCCTTAGTGCTAGGAAATTGCAATGTTGTGGAAAGGTTGAATTTGTCTAATTTCAGCTGCCAGTCTTCCTTTTGCTATGCCTTTGTCAGTAAGACTAAAATGTCTCCCTTTTTCAGATATGTTTTCTGAACAGGTGTCTATGAAAAACTGATTATTTGCAGTGACCTGTTGAAAAGCCTATGCACGCAGAAGCCTGTGCACCTTTTCTGGTTCTGCCACTTGGCCTAATGAAGTTATTGCCTTGATCTGCAAACCTTACATCTTCCATATCTTTAGACTATCACAATTTTAACATCCCTATGACTATTAAAAATTTATATCTAGGAGTCAAGACACCTTTCAACTTTTGTTCTGGTAAATTGGATATGTTATATTCTTTAAGGCTCACACTGTAAGACTGGTTTTCTGACAGCTGTCCTAGGAACTCTCTCAATTTTTTCAAAACCTGTGAGAACTATAGAGAATATATTAATGTAGAAAATTTGTAAATGCTGTATATAGAAGCAAAGTAATTTCTTATTTGTACATAACACCTCCTTTCTCACTCTCCATTTTTAGGCGTTTAGCTACAGTTCAGAACTGCCAGCTCATGTTGCAGTGATTGTCTGTGTCAAGCAATCCAAGTGGTGATCCCAAAATTCAGCTGATAGGAGTGAATGTTTTTCCCCTAGTTTGACGTGGCTAACGTGAAATTAAAGGTGAAAGGGAATGCCTTATATGGCATTATGGATGAAATCTAGATTTTTCCAATTTGCTCGTACCTGGATGGGCACCTAGTTTTGGGTGATCATTATTCCAAAGAGGAAGGAGGATTAGCCACCATGTGTGTCTAGGGAGCAGGATGAAAAGAAGGATAGAGACTTAAAAGCATGTAAGAATATGAAATTTCCTCCTAACTTTCAGGAGCCTGCTAAACAGAAAATGTGGTGCTGGCAATCCCTGAAACCAGAGGCTTTTTCTCAGTGTGCTCAATCAAGCTACTCTTATTTACTCAGATAATTACATTCCTTTGTAATCCCACTCGGGCCTTCATGGCAGAACCTTGAGAAATCTGTCTTCCAGGATTATGTTTTTTTATCTGACAAATAACTGTGCCACAAACTGGCTCACAGAACAGAATCTCCAATTCTGTAGATCCAAGTCCTTTGTTCCCAGATGTCCCAGTCTTCTATTTGCTTTAAAACACATTTTAGTGACAGTAGTTTGTCCAAACTGTTGCAGTAGCTTCTCCAAAGCAATTATTTCTGTGCCTTATAACGTTTTTTTCTTGAATGGTGATGAAGAGATGGAATTTTGGACTCTAGTTCTTATTTGAAGTATAAGTTATGTATTTTGTATTACAGTCTTTGTTTGGATAGATGCATAAACCTACAGTGAATATAAAGACCGAAGTGAGGGATCCATAAATCCCAGAGGATTGTCCTTAGCAGTGGACTGCTCACTCAATTTATGTCTGTTGCAGCATAGCTCTTGCATTTCTTACATTCCTTTTCTGTGCAATAGCCCAGAGATGGAGGGAAAATGGCTCTACCCCAGGTCCCCATGTATACAGAGGCAGTTATAGTTGTTATTTAAAAAAAAAAAAAAAAAAAAGCGGGCAGGGGGAGGGTTGTTTCAGATATGTTACTTTTCCACACTCAGATGTGAACTCGTGGTCTTGGAATGGCAAAGGCACCAAGGTACTTATTGCTACACTGAGTTATGCTCCATTCAAATACATCCCCCAAACCACTTACCTATACCTAATATCTTGTATTAACTCACCTTGAAGATTAAGAGTATACCTTTGACACATAAGAACTCCTTGGAGAGAGTAGTTAATAGCAGTTATCTGATTTGCTTTCCAATGGCTGTGAAGTGTGCCTGTGAATTCCTGTTCTGGATCACATATGTATTTATTAGGAATCTACAGTAGATAATCCAAAAGCACCTTCTGCTACTCTGTTTAATTTTCTTTTAATTCTGCTCTAGCGTGGAGTATTTTGTCCTTTCCTTACTACCACACCAAAGTATCTAAACTCCACAGACTTTGTTTTTCATTGTGTTAATGATGAATACTGTTTTGTTGTAATTCATCTAAATAGGCTTGAGGTTTTACAAAATACCTCGGGGACAATGTCTGGCTGATTATTTATTCTAACCGTTCTTCATTGTGGGCAATGTAATGCTAGATTTCAACTACAAAATGTTTCTTTTTTTGTTACTGAAAGTCATTTAATAGTCTAGGGAAAAGACTTGTCTTCGTCACTGTCAGTAGACCTAAGATCGAGCTAAGTGGAATGAGCATTACTAGGTCTTTGTATATAGCTCGAGCTATGGTAGGAATGTGGCACATGCAGTCCTGTGGGAGGTGTTTAGAGAAAGAGTGTCTCAAATGCTAATCAAATGCAATAAAACACAAAATATCCATTCTAAATCCTGGGTGTATCTGATCAAGGTATTTGGTTGGTGACCTGTTCATTTTCCAGAAGAAATAACACTTTGTCGGTATAATGAGCATCATTTCACAGGTTAGTTAATAGCCTACTGAACTGTGCACTTTCCTATTAGCAGATCTGCTAAGTCTAAAAGTTAAATGGATGTTACATTCATTACACCAGTACTGGGACTTTGTGGCTGAAATCAAAGTTTATCTGAAAGTGTCTGCTCAGCCATATTATTTGCAGTTGTTGTAGCATTGAATCAGAAGCACAGAAGGTCTCATCTTTATCCTTTTTCTCTGCCTTTGTCCAAAGTATGTGTAAGGTTGGGTCGAATATTAATGAAGAATTAATGTTTTAGAACAAATAACGTGGAGTGGAATTTAGTCCAAGAGTATCAACAACAGAATATCAAAGTTCAGTGTTATTTGATTTGAGCTGACAGATCTTTAAAGAACAAATTTGGAGAAATTATTTCACAGATGCTTTTGGCTAGCTATCCTGTTGATTTTATCGAGGGAAATGACTGCCCAGTGAATTGAAGTCTGGCTAATTTATTTTTTTTTCCTAACCTTTCTACTGAACTTTAGTGACATTATTTTTGATTTACACCAAGTTCAAAAAGAGCAAGATATTTCATCTTAGGCTGACAACAAGCTTGATTAAAAACAAAACAAAACAAAGCATAAAATGAAAGCCATCAAACCATGGGGGGGGGGGGGGGGGGGGGGGAGGGAGGGGGGAGAGGTGGAGTATGATGAGTTAGTAAACAAAACAAAACAAAAAAAAAACAAAACAAAACAAAACAAAACAAAAAAGGTCACTCACAGATGAGCTTGCTTCGTGCTTCTTGTTCTGTAAAATTCAATGGACAGAATCACAAAGAAGAAATAAGCCTTCTTTCATCTATTACACTTCATCTGGTATAGGTCTTATCTGGCTTCATAACTTTTTTAGCTCTGTTAATTTCTTATAGTTCTGTGTTTGCCCCTTGACTTTTCTGTCTCAAGTAAAAACTGTGAGGAGAAAGCTTGTGTGTACCCTATGTTTCTGTTGCCTTTAGAGTCTTGATTAAGATTTAACCGTGCATAGTCCTGCTGTTCGAAGTATCAGGCTGCCAGATGCATCTGCAGGTAGAAAACCAAGCACAGTGAAAAGTCTAATATATGAATTTACACTGGGGGGAAAGATGAAAAAAATATTTCAAATTGATTTAAATTTATTTTGTGAATTCTTTTATTTCTGACCTCTTTCAGGCTCCTGGTCCAAAATAGTTTATGAGTTTCCCATCTGTGTTGCTTTGGAGCCTGCCTCTTACGGGTGACTGAGCAATGAGGATTGCACGTCACTGAGCAAACCTTTCCTGGGGTCAGGATGCAGACAGCATGTGCACTGGGGAAGCTGAGCTGGGGCATGCACAGCGTGGTGGTGTGTCCCTGCTCCAGAGGGCAGACTTAGTCACGGAGTAACAAAGATGGCAAAACACAAAGATGACTAGTCATGCAGGAACTCAACAGTTGTGTGAATTTCCGTCCAGTATATAAATATTTATTTCTGTATTCTCAATTTCACCTGTTTATTTTCCACTTAAAAATTAAAGGGATATGAATTTATCTTGAAAATGAGGTAATTTCAGAATTAGAAGGAGATATATACTCCTTCTTTGAAATTAAGAGTTTCACAGAGGCATATGGAGCTGGTGCTTTGCCACATGGATTTATTTTACTTTTTAGGATTACTTGGTCTCATTTCTTTGGTTCCTCACTATGATTTATAGACAAGAACTGTATAAATAGCTGTTGGTATAGAGGTATGGGTACTACTAGTCATATCTTAGACATTTGTATAACATGTTATACATGTATAACATTATACAAATACATTTGTATAACGTGAGTTATACAAAGTCTCAATGAGTTCTGCACAATTCTTGATTATGTTTAATATCAAGTCAAGGATTTAATTTTTAGTTGTGCTTTTAATTCATTCTTTTTTGGATATTTTATTAATTATTGGTTTTAAGTGCTCTGTGGTACTTCATGTTAAGGGTACAGGATGAATCAGAGTAATTATATACCTCATTCACTACCACCAAACAGAATTAAAAGGAAGTAAAATTTAAAAAAAAATAAAGATTTGGGCTCTCCTAGATACTGCAGAACTACATGATGTATCTCTGATTTGCAAATACATGAATTCATGGCTTGATTCTTCTTTAATTAAACATTTCTTTTTAGAAAAATTGGAAACATAATTGTTTGAGAGCTTTAAGGGCAACAGTAATTATGATATTGGGTTTGTCAAATTATCCCGAACATTCTATTAAGGCAGCAATTTTTCTGAACTGTCATTCCACTATTCTTGCTCTACATTTAGCCTGTGATGCTGCTGGAAATTGTTTTGAATCTATTATGCTGCAGAACATCTTAAATAGCCCCAGCACTTCATAATGTTAAGAGAAACGGGTCAAATGAAGACTCTGAAATGTTAGTCTCCTAAAAGAAATATATGCAGATTTTTTAAACTAATTCTGTAGTCCGCAAGAACTCATATGAA